ATTCAGTAGAACACATATAAAAAGCGGTGAGTATGCTGAGAGTTGATTTTGTGCTTGATGCGATTGAAATCTAGGACTCGTGATTTTTTTCTAAAGAAGTGATGGAGGTGTTAATTTGACCTTTTCAGGCTCTGAAGAAGGCGAACTGCCGAAACATGAACTGTCAAATAAAGATTGATGTAACACCTCAAGTTTGGTTTTAAGAAGAAACTCAGGAATTAAGAAGAAAATCAAGAATAAAGAAGAAAATCAGGACTTATATGAAGCAAGTCGAGATTAATAGACAATCGGTCTTAGGAACTACGCTAATTTTCAAATGAAGTTCAGTTTCCAGTTTCGATATGCTAATTGAATTCAACTGCTAAACAACTTCGAGAAAATTGCGAGCCCCTCAAATAGACCACACAACCTATAGCGAAATTGCCAGTGGGCTAATTTTCGACTAAAGTTAAGGCTCCAGCTTCGATGCGCTGATTAAACACAATTGTTGAGCAACCTCTACAACATTACAAACCCCTGTTACAGTATACAACTGTTGGTGGATTTGGTAGTGAGCTGATTTTTGCCTGAAGTTCAGGTTCCAGGTTCGAGATGCTAATTGGACTCATTTGTGGAAATAGAGCACAACCAAGAGGTGTTGACACCGTAAGTATGATTCCACATAGAACTGTTTGAAGCGGTCCAAATAAGTGGGGACGAGCCTAAACATCGAAAACTACGCGGTAGAAAAGGGTTAAGAAAAACCCCAAAATTAAAACAAGACAGTAGAAAAGTCTTTCCAACAATAAAAGGTCGAAAACAATGCAATTTTACTACCTTGAAATACGTCTTCTTCTCTAAGGCGTTGACAATCACAGGAATGAGAGCTGCAATTGAATAACTCATAAAGCGCAACGGTGATATTTGTACAAGTATATATTTACTAACCAAAAGTTGGAGTAGCCATCCCTATCCTGGAGATAACAACCTGGGTGATCGCCGAATAAGCAGCCGATTTACTAGCACCAAGTTTGTTTCCTTGAGAATCCATTATGTCAATGCCATTCACAAGTTCACTGAAAATGGACAAGTAAAGAAAATAATATGCGCGTGAATCAGTAGAATACGAAAATGACGAAAAAACATTTCACCGTCTTCTCATCATTGGAATATTGATGGCATTTGCTACACAAACAGCCACATAAGGTACAAGTCGTCCAATGAGAGGTGGGGCTTTCTAAACAGCGAAGTGTCTAAATATTTCTGAATCGATCACGATAAAACTCGTTCTAACTGCGAACTTGAAACGAATCCGTGTGGAGATTCTGAGATTCCACACAAATTGAACTTTCCATAGAAAAAACTAATAGCAGTGAGTAGTGGAACAAATCAAAAATTACGACGAATCTACAACATGAAAAAACTACAACTATAACATATTTCGAGCCCTTCATGAAGTGTGTTATGGCACTTGTACCATGGACGGTGCCTTTCATTCAGTCAGTTCTGTGGGAACATAACCTTTATTTCGAGGAACCTACGCCAAAATTTTTACACTTGCTGCTAGATGATAAAAGTACCCATCGCATAGTGTTGTACAGTTGATTGCGCGTACCTGCTGAAATGTATACCGTCATACCTTTCCTTCCAACCATTTTTGAGATCTCACTTAAAACAACTTGCTCAGATAACAGATTTTATAGTGTTATATTAATTTTCATATGCTATCAGAGAGCGCATGTGACGAGTGGTTGGAGGTACACTGCCTCGCTTACAAGGTCGATGGTTCGATCTCGCGTCCATAATTCACCAAGCCATCCATCCCTCTAATTTACCGGTAAACTGGTACCGGACTGGTAGCAGAGTTGTCTGGGAAGATAAGCAGCACTGACTCGATACAGCGGGAGGCCACCGCGTGTCACTATAGAGGCCAGATATGCATGAAGATGGATACTTGACGCATCCTTCAGAAATTGATCAAAGGCGAGAGCTTTATTCTTCAGAGCTTTAATCAGATATACTTCTGAGCGATGTTTGAAAAATACTCAAAAAGAAAGGTATGACAATATACGTTTTACCAGCCACGGACAATCGACTCTGAAACTCTGCCCGCTGGGTAATTTCATCACCTAGCAACAAGTGTAAATAGTTCGGTGTCGGTTCCTCTGTATAGATAATGTCTCCCACGGAACTGACTGAACCAAAAGGCACTGCGCAACTGACGAACCTGTAATGTCGAAACACGCGTCTTGCACTTCAGAAGTACCACAACAAACCGCATGAAAGGCTCAAAATATGTTATCAGATTATGTTGTTTTGAGCGAGGTCTCAAAAAGAGTCGAAAAGAAAGGTATGACTATGGTGAACATCTATTAGCACTGCTGTTAAAAAGACTGTTGCTGTCTTTGTGGACAATAAAATTTCTAGTGGAACGCTACATTTCACCATATCTGCGGATTCCTTCGATAGGACGGAGAGCTTTTGAAAAACAAAAACTAATGCTCGCAGCAACTGCTCAGAATGTGTTCATGCATACCCAAATGAGTTCTTTGACTCACAGTCATTCTCTCCAATGTACTAATCATTCATTTATATGCAAGGTTGGCAAAAAGTCCTCTAGCATTCACAACTAAGATTAGTGAATGATTATGATAAAAAACTATATAAAATAAGCGAGTAAAAAAAATGCAACCGTCACTAGAGAGTTCAATCCAAGAGCTGCCGTTAAAGCCCCTCCAGTAGCGGCGCAGTACGACATCAGGAGCTGAAGAACGTCGATAAATGAAAATACACCAGAGAAAACTACATCATACCCATACCTCAGAATTCGATCCACTGTCACCAGATCGATTTGTGTAATTCACTACTGCATTAAAAGACTGATTCAGCCATTGCCAGAAAATTACGGATACTGGAGTTCTGAATTCCGTTATGTATGTACAAGGATACAACGTACTTCAACAACACAAAGAATTGAGAAAGTTACAGCATCAAGTTGCTCCACTTCATTCGTTTTTTTTTTTTTTTTTTGAGGGGGGAAGGGGGATGAACGAAAGTGTTCGGTATCATTCTCAATGAATGTTTTGGTCCAGCAAAACGGATCTTTTCGAAGCTATAAAACACTGCGAATTGAGTAATTCCTAGAAAATTACCATTGTGTATGTAAGCATCGTCCTATTAGGCAATTATGTGAGTGGTTTATTCGATTGTCATAAGTATTACGCTCTCCAATGCCAACGTGTACATGCCGTTCTAGCGTTCATTTTACGATGGCGAAATGCTCACTATCCAGTCGAACTTGGTGATTTAGAGAAATTTGACTCTATGCAAAGCTTGTGTAGTATCTGGTTTCAAGGCTCACAACTCCAGAATATAATTTTGTCTTGATACATAGAACAATACAGAGGGCAAATTAGGATGTAAAAAAGTTCTGTCGTGTTTTCGAAATGCATGAAAAAAATTTAGTTGTACACCAGTTAAGCTAAGACAGAGGACAAATTAATAGTCAAATTAGTCACCTTCTTCATCAAGACAATTTAGCCACATATCCAGCTACATGATATTCCGTGGCAGTGGAACTCGTCACCTTCGATTTGAAAAAAATTTGAAGATTTTGCTTGATTTTGGGAATGCTTAGGAATTTTTTGCCTCTAAGAAAGTGCTCCGTCGAACGCAATAAGTGATAGTCACTCGGTGCCAAGACCGAGCTATACGACAAATGCTCCAAAACCTTCCACCCAAAATCTACCAAATGATTCGATAGTCTCAGAAACGTTGACACCCGATTTGTAGTGGAAATGGAGCAAAAGATGTATTTCTTTTTTGTACAGTTCCATTTTGGAGGCTGTGAAGACTAATGATACAAAGTTCGATGCGCAAGAAAAGAACTTTTCTGCTGAGTTTGAGCTCGAACAAAATACACGTGTAAAAACCATTTCGCCAGGAAATACGATAGAACTTTTTCTACAACCTATTACTACGTTAGTCATGACATTTCCAATTAGAAAAAAAATTGAAAAATGGTATAATTCAAATCATAGTCACTTGTAGAAGGTCAGCATTCCTCCCGTGATCAACATATTCATCGGCACTTGCGCCGACATTCGACCGATGATGAACATTTTTTCGCCGGTTGCTGGATGAAATGCAGAGTCGACAACATGTTTCGCTTTCCATAGCTCTCTCACAGTCAACGAATCCGAAATAAATCCATTCCTAAATTCTATTGATCACCTATTATTCATGTTTCTTTGCGTATATCGAAACCCTGTCCAAATGGCACAATTACACTGCAAAACGACTAAATAGTAAAATGCCACTTCTTAAGTTCACACATCCATAACAACTCTTTACTCGGGTAAAAGTGATCCAAGCAGGGTACATTTTTTTACCACTAACAAGGCATAAATAAATTTGTAAATACCTATAGTCATCAACTATTCTCTTGAACATTCGAAGCTGTGAATCGGTGTTGAGAAGATTCAATGGATTTGTGATGGCGAAGAAGTGCTGAATAGATAAAAGGTGACTTTCAATCTGCTTACATGAAAGAGGATAGTAGTGATTGAACATACTCGAGCTCTGCCTTCAAACGTTTCCTGACTCCATCTAGGCTTCGAGATGTCCGGTCTCAATACGAGCGTCCTCACCAAATCCGACATTCTCTAACAGGTAGCAGTATAGGCTGACATAAAGTATGTCATTGGTGAAATTGATTGAGAAGATAAACTGGCAAAGTTCGCTAACGATTCATATCGGCGAAGAAAATGTAGTGGCGAGCAAATGATTAGATAGCAAGTGATATGAGGAAGACTGATGTTAGTACAATCGAACCATCTACCGCAATCGCCATTGCTCATAAACAAGACCAATGACTTTCGCGGTTTAGATGTAAAAACTCACGTAACAAGAACACAATGTAACCATCAACGTTACCAAGCGATCGTTGTTGAAGGTTGTGGTGAATCTCGTCGCTTTTAAGTAAGAAATTATCTAAGAGAATTGAGCGGTAGGCAAAAATTCGAGCGCAGGCGAGAATTGAACCCGCGTTTCACCCACACAGGAGGTGCGTGCTACCACTACACCACCAAGGCCACCGCTTACCCACCATTCATTCTTCAATATCTCACTATCATAGCTATCAGCCACCAACCTCTAACAGGTTTGGTCGATTAAGCGGTATCGCTATAGAAACCCAGCCGACGTACTTATGTAAATCCAAGAATTCTTATGTTTTTAATGCTTTTTCGTAGTGCTATGATGTTTCAAGTATACCTGAGAGAATTGAGGTGGCCTCTGTGTCGCAGTGGTAGCACGCGCTCTCGGTACAAATAAAATGTGGGTTCAACTCCCGCCAAAAGTCGAATTTTTGCCTACCAGGCGTCAAATCAAATGAACTTGAAGCTGTTTCACATTATATTCTCGAAACTATATGGGAAAGAAACTTGCTGTCTGCAATATACGAATCAAGTTAAATTGTAATGATGCTAGCAGTATTGCTCATGAATTCAAGAGAAAGTGTTAAATATCTGAATAGAAGCTTCTATTTCTGGATATAAGAAAACGCAAAAGTTTGTCCAACTTGTTCCAATTGATGAACATTTCCTCGCAAAGGAAATTGTCCGGATAAGTGTCCATGTGCTAGCTTGGTGGTGGTGAATTTAGTGAAGAAAAGAAAAAAGCAAAGAATGCTGAGCTCCATAGATTGCTAGACGTTAGCATCGTTACGTAGAAAAATGAACACCATTTTAGAGTCATCAGCAGATAGAGCCGTCTTCACTTGATCTTGCTCAACTCCCGATAATACTTCACTGATTTCAGCAGTCTACAAGAAGCCGAATTTGCCGATTCCTTGCCAATGACTGTATTCTGAAAGATCAACCTTCTAGAACTGCATTTGTGCTTCATTTCCTTTCGACCTTGTGCAGAATGTAGTCAGTTGCAGTACAGAACTACCCTTAGTAGCATTTCACAATGAGCCATCAAAAGTCGCGCCGCACAAGGGAAGCTGAAATCCAGAAACTTCGCATGACTGCTACCTGCTTACTTGACATTCAATCTATGTGGCACACATTTCTAATGTGTTTCACTCATATTTATCATTGAATATTGCCTTATACCTTCATATTCAACTGTTTTCTTTAGACGTCCCCCAAAATTAATACATCTAGACCTCATGAAAGGCTTTGAATATGCTGCCAGGATTTGCTAATTATCACAAACTGATAAACGGTAGATAAATATCATTGACACCTGCATAGTTCAACTAGTACGAAGCTAAGAGCACGTTTTTATGAGTAAAAAAGCTACAGGTTAAGGACTTTCAGACTCATAAAGTACAGAGATACCGGGAGGAACAACATTAATATGAAATTATAACATGACTGAGAAGTCATCGCAACAACATAACATTGTGTTTGTATTAAGGTTTCAATATGACCTGGATTGCATGGAGCATATGAACACTATAATATATTGTAGAGATGTCACACCTCAGAAAACATCCGTATTCATCCAACTGAGGAGAAAATTGATAGACAGGCTTTCGTTGCACGTTCTTCAAATCATTTCAGAAGGGCAGATCGGAAAAATATTGAAATGCATCGTCAATATATAGCTGTGAAATCACGTATTACATAATGTGACCAAGGTATTATTACTGTCAGTTCATCGAAACACTTTTGGTGTAGTCGAATAAAAACACTTGATAAGGATTGGACAGCACTAAAGAGAACTCTGGACTGACATGTTGCACCCAATTATGAGAGGATTATTCGAATCGATGAGGGAAAAAAGAACAAATTCAGTCAGTGGCATCAATTGCAAACCACCATTAGTTGCATCAAGTATCATAATAGAGCTTTCCAAAACACAAAAGGTAACAAAGTCATTGATAAGACCACGAAATAAGTGACAACGTGCAGTGAGAGGTAGAGCCGTTGTTATAGCACAGAGGGTTCGGATTTTACGCCTTTACTGCAACTTTACGATAATCATTTGCCACAAGAAAATCCATTTCTTCAGGAAATATTGATCAAAGTACACAGTTACCTATACTGGAACTTTCTTAACGACCTTCACAGTGTTTTTTTCACTATGCTGATTCCAGTACTTTTAGCATTCTTTTGTTCCTTCGTCTTCTTCTTGAGATTCGTAGAGTACTGGTTGAGAGAGTTTCCTGGCAATCTCGAGTATGCCCTGGCTATGGTGTTCCATAGGGCGTTCAATGTTGACTGCCGGGGGTGTTTGGTTCATTCAACGGTTCGACCTCAAGCGTGCCGCGACGAGCAATACAACCACCCGGCTATTGCGCCCCGTTACCATTTTACTATAATTAAAAATCAAATATCGAGATTTGAGAAGGTTTCTGAAAGAATTAACAATATTTTTCTACCTTTCGTGCTCACATACATAACCTACTCTTCAGTCTCGAAGGAACGATTATAAAACTCGCAGAAACTGAATTCTCACAAAAAATCACAGAACAAGAGTAGTATTAGAATCGAACCAAGCCTCTCATCCTTCCAAGGTCGGGAACTTGACAACAAACTTGTCTGCAACAATCTGAATTCACCTAATCTGTGGAGCACTCTGATTAGATTATCTCAATTACGCTAAGAGTTGTCTCGACCAACACTCAATGACGGTTGTCGAGTGGACAGTGAAGCAGGCCGTTAAGAAGAGAGGTTCTGACTCGACCAGTAATACAACACTCTTAAGCAATCAATGAATGAACGCTTTATAAAACGTCTTAGCTCGAACTCCTCTGAGATTGAACACAGATTTGCCCGACGAACATTCTACGTCATCCATGAAGAAGACGAAATCCTCAAAGAGCAGTCGAAATAACACTAGAGATATTTGAGGTCCTTTGTGGAGGATTCATACATAGAAACCAAATAAGTCTAAAAATTCCTGAGAAACCTAAAGATTTTTTTGAAAAAATATGGGATCCGCAGAGAAACATGTGATGAGAAGTCGTGTATTGATAAACGGCATATGAATTCAGTATTAGTGAAAGTACATATTTGACTGCCAGCTCGACCTTCTAAAGTACAAACTGCAATGCCTTGAATAACGTATGAACAAGATATTAATTATTTGGTGAGCAGAAAAGGAAACTTAGAAGACTTCGGTGAAGAGGATGAAAGACAGCAGCAGTCCGAAGCCGTAACCAAGAACGTTTAAAGACCTTCGTAGACGTTGGATGAGAAGATACGAATTGATCACAAGAAGTGCTAGGATTAGCGCATTGTGATGCAAGTGATGCCGCATCAAGGAATAGAAATAAAAGTCCAGGATGTAATCGATTCCTGTTGGCAGAAATCTTAATCCACGATAATAGACAGACATCTCTGTATATGTGAGATTAGTAGAAGTAGTATGACAACCACTACTGATCAAAATTCCTTGTAACGACCACTCTCATGATGGACTGCTTGATAGTACAGCGAAGCTGAAACGAGAAGAAATTCACATAAAACTAATGATCATTACACGACTCAATTATCGTAAAGCCCTATCTCAGCAGGTGGTCGATCACTGAGGTTTGTGGCTTGCATTCTGACACAATGACCTGATGTCTGCCTAGCCAGAAACAAAACAGAAATAATGAACTAATATCATTTCAAGTTCAAAAATTTCTGGGAGACGAAAGTAGATTATCGCTCCGACTGATTTGAGAAGTAGCAAGCAGTCGGCGAATAGCTATGGAAACCGCGAGACGATTCTCATGGGTGGCCCAGAGTAAGTGCTATGTGTAAATGAACGGACGCTCTCTAAAAGTTGAGAGGAAAAATGACAAAATAAAAGAAGATTCTGGTATAGAAGGAGCGTCAGATACAATTGGATTAGTTCACTTAGTAAATCGATAACGAATAATGACAATGCTCACTCTTCTTGGTTCTCTTATTCAGCAAGTACGAGGTTAATTTGAAGATTTATTCAGTACAGACACACACTACATTGAACTTGTTCGTGATGGCTGACGTTTCGGCTTTATCGCCTTCTTCACAGCCTGAAAGAGTCAAATTGATATGCAAAACACTCAGACAAATACTTTCATAACCAGAACACAACAGCTTACGTAAGCTATCTGCATATCAGTTTAACTCTTTCAGGCTCAGAAGAAGGCGACAAAACCGAAATGTCAGCCATCACGATCAAGTTCATTGTAGTGTTCGTCTGTACTAAAAAAATCTTCAAATTAACAACCTCGTACTTGCTGAATAAGAAAATCAAGGCGATATACATCAATGCCGAGGTTGATTGATAGCCGATCATGGGAGAATGCTCGCTCTACTTGCCATTACCTTTCATCAGGTACAGTTGTTCAAACGGCGATCTATTGTTTGTGCTCAATACCATTTTTTATGTAGCGCATGAAAAAAGCTAACTGATTACCAGATATTCAATAAAATCTAAGAAATTAAATATATTCAAGAGAATTGAGTAATGAGCAAAAATTCGACCACAGACGGCAGTGAACCCGCATTTCACCCATACCGAGGGTGCGTGTTACCACTACACCACTGCGCACCATTTCACTACCACTTATCCTTTAGTGTCTCTATCACAGCGATGAGTCAAAACCGTTAACAATCATAACACTACAAGAAGAGCGTTAAAACATGAGGAATCTCGAATTTGAGAAAATACCCTTATCGAAATGTGCAAAAGATATTCAATATTTTTCCGTCGGGCTTTTTCTAATTGATCATTTTTAGCGTTGGCATGCTGTTATAATATATCCAAGAGGGTCGAGTGGTGTGCAAAAATATTTGCATCAGTTGGGATTCGAACCCAGATCTCCTCCTATCTGTGAAGCCTGCTGAATCATTGCACTTCCGACGCACTTTTGATGACACCACCATTTCTACGTTACAAGGCGCCTATCTGCCACCGACCTAACATCAACGGTTTGCCATGGGTGATCGCTATCAACACTGTACCAACTGATGCTGACAGATATTAGGTTCCCGATAATCAATCAGAATTCATTCTATTTGACCGGCTTCAGCGGTTATGATCTTCCAATCGCACCTGACGAAATGACAGATTTTGATGTATAGCTGGTGGTTCATAGGCCA